TCAACAGCCTGATCAACTCTGTTCAACAGTGATGTGTCGCGCTGCATGAGGCAAATTGTGATCGAACCAGATACTGACTAGTTTTCTGATTCACGCCCCTACCTTTTTTTTTTAAAGCTATCTGTGATCAACAGATGCATATCTGTATTCCCAGTCATGTGACATCCATAGATTAGGGCCTAATGAATTCATTTCAATTGGCTGATTTATGAACTGTAACTCAGTAAAATCTTTGAAATTTTTCTTCAGTGTAGTTACACACACACAGTGCTTTTGACAATGTTTTCAACTTACGTATTTGACACATGTTGATATACATGATTACATTGTGCATGTTCATTTATATATTGTATTAGTCCTCACCTGGTCTTCCTGCTATGCCACCATGTCTGATTGTCTGACAATCAATCTCGACAAACAGAAAATACATCCCTCCCAAACTTGTACCCAGTATCGAAGGCTTGGCTTGACAATCTCTGATTGTCATTCAACGTTTTGGTGTTTTGTATTAGATGTCTCTATCCATTCATCAAATGGATGCTGGAATTATATTAGAGTGGAGTGGACTAACGTGCACAGGTAGCCTATTCAGATTAAAACATTGTGACTGGTTGTGTTTATGCCACAGGTAAATGGCAATACATTAAAAAAGTTAAATGACAAATATGTAGGCTATTTTAGGTTCTAGGTGCGCGGGGAATAGCAGGTTGGATCAGAAAGGAGGCAGAATGTGCCTAAGCTTTCCTGAATAACTGGGACTGCTGTGAGCATACAGTGCTTTCAGAAAGTGAAATGGATTAAATAGATAATTTTTCAAAATAGGTTTTTACAAATGTTTGCTAATTTATTGACAACGAAATACATAAATATCTCATTTACATAATTATTCAAACCCCTGAGTCAATACCTTTGGCAGTGATTACAGTTGTTAGTCGTTCTGGGTAAGTCTCTAAGAGCTTTGCACACTTGGATTGCACAATATTTGCCCATTATTCTTTTCAGAATTCTTCAAGTTCTGTCAAATTGGTTGTTGATCATTGCTAGACAACCATTTTCAAGTCTTGCCATAGATTTTCAAGCAGATTTAAGTTAAAACTGTAACTCGGCCAGGAACATTCACTGTCTTCTTGGTAGGCAACTCCAGTGTAGATTTGGCCTTGTGTTTTGGGTTATGCTGAAAGGTGAATTCATATCCCAGTGTCTGGTAGAAAGCAGACTGAACCAGGGTTTCCTCTAGGATTTTGCCTGTGCTTAGCTCCATTCCATTCCTTTTTTATCCTAAAAAACTCCCCAGTCCTTAACGATTACAATCATACCCATAACATGATGCAGCCACCACTATGCTTGAAAATATGGAGAGTGGTACTCAGTTTAATGTGATATATTGGATTTGCCCCAAACATAACACTTTGTATTACTTTAGTGCCTTGTTGCAAACAGGATGCATGTTTTGGAATATTTGTATTATGTATAGGCTTCCTTCTTTTCACTCTGTCAATTAGGTTAGTATTGTGGAGTAACTACAAAGTTGTTGATCCATCCTCAGTTTTCTCCTATCACCACCATTAAACTCTGTAACTGTTTTAAAGTCACCATTGGCCTCATGGTGAAATCCCTTAGTTGTTTACATCCTCTCTGGGAACTTAGTTAGGAAGGACGCCTGTATCTTTGTAGTGACTGGGTGTATTGATACACCATCCAATGTGTAATTAAAAACTTCACCATGCTCAAAGGGATATTCAGTGTCTGATCTTTTTTATTTTTACCAATCTACCAATAGGTGCCCTTATTTGCAAGGCATCGGAAAACCTCCTTGGTCTTTGTGGTTGAATCTGTGTCTGAAATTCATTGCTCGACTGAGGGACCTTACATATAATTGTATGTGTGGGGTACATAGATGAGGTAGTCATTCAAAAATCATGTTTAACACTATTATTGCACACAGATTTCATGCAACCTATTCTGTGACTTTTTAAGCAATGTTTAACTCCTGAACTTATTTAGGCCTGCCATAGGGGTTGAATACTTCTTCACTCAAGACATTTCATATTTTTATTTTTAATTAATTTTGTATTTTTTTTATTCCACTTTGACATTATGGGGTATTGTGTGTAGGCCAGTGACCGAAAATCTAAATTTTATCAATTTTAAACTCAGGCTTTAACACAACAAAATGTGGAAAGAGTCAAGGGGTGTGAATACTTTCTGAAGGCACTGTATGTGGCCACATTATTATACGACTACCTGGGAGAAGGACGATCCGCAATAGGCATTCAGTATTAAAGTAAAAATACAGACAGGCTGGCCTGCTACTGTGCCTTTCTAGACCTTATAAACTGTCTAGAGTAGACTCACAACCGATCCAAATGGAATGAAGCATTCAAATCACAGGGATTTTGTGCCGTTATTCAAATGACATTTTAACTGGAGTTTACAGTCTAGAGTAGAATTTTGTACTCACTTGGAAACAATAATGCTATTATTCATTGCATTGTGGTGTTGTAGGCTAGTTTATAGGTATGATCTTTTTATTGTCCCTAACCAAGATCAATGGGGGAGCTTTTTGAGCTGCGTGTCTCATGTCTTCAATGTTCTTTCATGTTCAATGACACACCTAACCTCTCCGCTGCCTATCAGCTATTCCTCTATGTTCTTGTGGATTTATGTTGAAAATAGTTGCAACCTTTAATGATTTTATGTGTGTTATAATTTCTATTTAGCATATTGCAGATCTGGACAAACGATCCACCCACCACTATTGTCACTATGAATGGTGGATAGAGGGCAGGATGGACTCTTAGACTGGTAGACTATATCGACCTGTGGTATAGTAAGCGAGCGGAAAAGCGTAGTGCATAAGGGAAGTACCAAATCACCTTGATATGGGAGGCGTGGGCAAGCAGATGAGGAAATTAGGCTAGGATGGAATAAATTATATCGTAAAACCTGCAAAATGGTGAATGTAAACCTGGGAAAAAACACACTATCCTCCCCTGTACCCAATAAAAAACCACACAACCCTCCCCTATTTTGGACCAACCCCCCCACCCCAGTACATTTCAAACTGTCCCTAAATATCAGTATGGAATATTCTTTATATTCTACCAAGTCAGTAGAATGCTGTATGTGTGTAACCCTGTAGGTTATTATCAGTATGGAATATTCTTCCATATTATACCAAATCAGTATTGCGCTGTGTAAACCTGTAGATTATCAGCAGAGCCCCAGGTCATGTTCCTATAGACCCACAGGGCCAGGCAGAGGCAGTTCTTCTTCTCTCTGTATAGGAAAGTGTCTTATGCAATCAGACCAGCTCAATTAGTGATTTACAACTTTTCTCTCTTACTGAGACTGAGAAATATATCCCCGCCTCCCTATCACAGTTCTCATAATTTTCTATGACAGAGAAACACACAGCAATACTCAGATCATTTTAGAAATAATAATCTTTATTTGGTGCAGAATAGGAACACTTTTGGTACTTATTACAAATCCAAGAATAAGTCTTGTTTGTTGAGCTGAATTAGAATCACATCATGCCATCTACCATTTATGCTACATACATTTGGGAAAGAAAAAGAAACTCCAGCCCAAACGCCATACCTGCGTGTTCTATTGCACAATTACACCTCCAATTTCATCTCTGCACCGAAGAGATAACTCAGCCAAGTACAGACATGGTCTATTGGCTGGCAGGCTGTCAACCGCCTCGCTTAGCCAAAGGATTAGAAGTCACAGACAGAATCGCTGCGCTTGGTTGTCCTTTAAAACAAAGCACAAGGATGCGTCTGAAATGACACCCTATTCCCTATATAGTACACTACTTTTTAGGGAATAGGGTGCCCTTTTGGATGAAGCTAAGGTCTTGTGTGACGTATTATATGATTCGTTGTGAAGAACTGGTGGCACTGTCTGCCAGATTCTCTCCACATTTGGGTTCTGACGTCAAACAATAAATCAAGCTAGCTGCTCTATGGCTTTTATAGCAAGCTCAGCAGCACCTAGGCCTACAACCATGTACCTGACTGTATAGAATAAACCAGAGTAGTCAACTAATCTTAGATACTTAACATACAAGTTCTGTCCAGTTTTTTCACGACTCACAGAAACATGGCAATTGTGCATAAATAATTAATTAGAAAGCCAATACTCAGACAACCCACCCTTTTTGTTTATTATATTAGACATGTAAAAGTCCAGCTTCTGTTCAAAATGTATACAACAGTCTTAGGTTTTTACTAGGTAGGTTGTCTTTGTATAAAAGCAAATGCCCAAAATGTATCCAAAGCGCTGAGATAAACACAGCAGTAGCAAAATAAGGCTGCAGAAGTATGCAATAAGCTGCATCTCAGCATCTAGGATCTGTCTACATTCTATTACAGAAAACATATGAAGTAATTCATTAATTCAACTTCCATCTGAATCCTCTGCTATATATACACATCACATAAAAAGCAGAAACTACACAAACATTACATGTCTGATGCCAGGAATGGTATGATGCCTAATCGGCCAATATACTGTTGCCCTGATCTGATCAAATATGATTAAAACTGTTATTTTAGCATCAGAATAATGGAATGACAATGATTTATTTTGGTCACTTCACAATTTTCCTTTTGGTAGAATAATTCAAAGCTGTTTATAAACGCTACACAACCACTTCTATAAACATGGACGTTATGATTTATCTTGTGAATCTTGAAATTCCAAATGACATAAATGATCATGTTGGATCATCTTATTACCCAGATGGTGCTGTGGTGTTGTCAAAGGGAAGTTGACCCTAATCATCCTTTATGAGCGCTCGTATCTTATCAGTTACACTTATATGTTCTCCCATAATTACATCATATAAAGAGCTTATATATTTCAACGCAAACATGAGTAAAGGATATCGTCACTTTCTTTTAGACTTACCTCAAATTATTTACTAATTTTTCCACTTAGATATAGGTCAAAAAGTGAAGATATCCTTTAACTTCTTAACCCCCCACACCCCCCCCCCCCCCCCCCCCCCCCCCCCCCCCCCCATAACAGGGAAGGAAAGCCCCTATCAGTTGTCCATGGCCTTGACGTGGACAGAGGACAGACACCGGCCCATACTGTGGAAGAGGGGGGTGACAAAAATGTCTGTAAGGCTGCTCCAGACCACCTGAACAGAGGGCAGGGCCATCAGACAGCTCCGCACCACCGGCATCAACACCCTGGAAGGAGAGGACGACAAAAGCAGGTTCAACTTCGCATCGCACACATACAGTATTCTTCAAATGCACAGAATGTGTAGGCATAAGTATTACCTGCATACATATTACATTACGAGGAACATATAGCCTTGTGTTGGGTGTAATATCAGTTGCATGAGGTGTTCCTAACAAGTTGCGTTTGCTGCAGAGTCCAGAGTACCTTGTAACATGAATTCTAACACAGCCTTCTTGATCCTCTTACTTTGTCCATTTGGGATACGCATAAACAGTTAATGCTGACTTTATGAATGCTTGGAGCCTGCAGTATGTACAAAAGGCGGCAGGAAGCCTAGCAGTTAGAGCTGTTGACCTGTAACCGAAAGGTCACTGGTTTGAATACACGAGCCGGCAAGGTTAAAAATGTGTCGATGTGCGCTTCTGCAAGGCACTTAACCCTAATTTGCTCCAGAGGCGCCATACTACTATGGCTGACCCTGTAAAACAACACATTTCACTGCACCTATCTGGTGAAATTGTATTTTTGATTTAACTGTATAAGGCTACGGAATGTGTTTTTATAAGAGTGCCTTCTTTTTGCCACTACATCTTGTGATACTATCTACCAGACACATCCCAGATGTCTTTTGACCAACCACAGGGTCAACTGTTTCTCATAGCTACCATTTCATCCTCTACTGATCTCTGCCTATGTCACCAAAGCCATATTTAAATTGCTTATCCTACATAAAAGCTGTGACAAACAGTGCAGACTGACTCTTCCTCTACACAATGATTATTCCTCTACACAAATGGCACCCTATTCCCTATATAAAGCACTACTTTTCAAATCAAATCAAATCACATTTTATTGGTCGCAAACACATATTTAGCAGATGTTATTGCGGGTGTAGTGAAATGCTTGTGTTCCTAGCTCCAACAATGCAGTAATATCTAACAATACACAACAATACACACGAAATATTAAAATATTTGGACGAGCAATGTCGGAATCCGGAGTATACAGTGTATTCGGAAAGTATTCAGACCCCTTCACTTTTTCCACATTTTGTTACGTTACAGCCTTATTCTAAAATTTATTAAATAACAACTTTTCCTTAATGGATCAAATCAAAACATTTCCTCATCAATCTACACACAATACCTCATAATGACAAAGCGAAACAGGTTTTTAGATTTTTTTAAACAAATAGAATAAAAAACAGAACATCCTTATTTACATATGTAGAGCTCCGAGACAGAATTGTGTCGAGGCAGAGATCTGGGGAAGGGTACCAAAAAGGGTACCCCCCTGCCAAACTTAGCAATCGGGAAAAAGGGCCTTGGTCAGGGAGGGTTGATGATCACTTTGACAGAGCTCCAGAGGTCCTTTGTGGAGATGGGAGAACCTTCCAGAAATACAACCATCTCTGCAGCACTCTACCAATCAGGCCTTTATGGTAGAGGGCCAGACGGAAACCACTTCTCAGTAAAAGGCACATGACAGCCCACTTAAAGGAAACAAGATTCTCTGGTCTGATGAAACCAAGATTGTACTCTTATGCCTGAATGACAAGCATCACATCTGGAGGAAATCTGGCACCATCCCTATGGTGAAGCATGGTGGTGGCAGCATCATGCTGTGGGGATATTTTTCAGAGGCAGGGACTGGGAGACTAGTCAGGATCGAGGGAAAGATGAACGGAGCAAAGTACAGAGAGATCCTTGATGAAAACCTGCTCCAGAGCGCTCAGGACCTCAGACTGGGGTGAAGGTTCACCTTCCAATAGGACAACGACCCTAAGCACACAGCCAAGACAACGCAGGAGTGGCTTCGGGACAAGTCTCTGAATGTCCTTGAGTGGCCCAGCCAGAGCCTGGACTTCTCAGGAGAGACCGGAAAATAGCTGTGCAGCGACGTTCCCAATCCAACCTGACAGAGCTTGAGAGGATCTGCAGAGAAGAAGGGGAGAAACTCCCCAAATACAGGTGTGCCAAGCTTGTAGTGTCATACCCAAGAAAACTTGAGGCTGTAATCGCTGCCAAAGATGCTTCAACAAAGATATTTAAATATTTTATTTTTAATACATTGCTAACATTTCTAAAAACCTGTTTTTGTTTGTCATTATGGGGTATTATGTGTAGATTGAAAAAATAACAATTTAATCCATTTAGAATAAGGCTGTAACATAACACAATTTTGAAAAGGTCAAGGGGTCTGAATACTTTCCAAATGCACTGTATATATATATATATATATATATATATATATTCAAACTCTTTATATACACTACCAGTCAAAAGTTTGGACACACCTACTCACTCAAGGGTTTTTCTTAATTTTTTACAATTTTCTACATTGTAGAATAATAGTGAAGACATCAAAACTATGAAATAACACATGGAATCATGTAGGAACCAAAAAAGTGTTAAACAAAATCAAAATATATTTCATATTTGAGATTCTTCAAATAGCCACCATTTGCCTTGATGACAGCTTTGCACACTCTTGGCATTCTCTCAACCAGCTTCATGAGGTAGTCACCTGGAACGCATTTCAATTAACAAGTGTGCCTTCTTAAAAGTTAATTTGTGGAATTTCTTTGCTTCTTAATGCGATTGAGCCAATCAGTTGTTTTGTGACAAGGTAGGGGGGGTATACAGAAGATAGCCCTATTTGGTAAAAGACCAAGCCCATATTATGGCAAGAACAGCTCAAATAAGCAAAGAGAAATGACAGTCTATCATTACTTTAAGACATGAAGGTCAGTCAATATGTAAAATGTAAAGAACTTTTAAAGTTTCTTCAAGTGCATTCACAAAAACCATAAAGCGCTATGATGAAACTGGCTCTCATGAGGACCGCCACAGGAATGGAAGACCCAGAGTTACCTCTGCTGCAGAGGATAAGTTCATTAGAGTTACCAGCCTCAGAAATTGCAGCCCAAATTAATGCTTCACAGAGTTCAAGTAACAGACACATCTCAATATCAACTGTTCAGAGGGGACTGTGTGAATCAGGCTTTCATGGTCGAATTGCTGCAAAGAAACCACTACTAAAGGACATGAATAATAAGAAGAAACCTGCTTGGGCCAAGAAACAGGTGAATGGATGATCAAATAAAATAAAATAAAATAAAATTGTATTGGTCACATGCGCCGAATACAATAGGTGCAGACATTACAGTGAAATGCTTACTTACAGCCCTTAACCAAATATGCATTTATTTTTAATAAAAAAAAGTAAAAATAAAACAACAACAAAAAAAAGTGTTGAGAAAAAAAAAAGAGCAGAAGTAAAATAAAGTGACAGGAGGGGGGCTATATATACAGGGGGGTACCGTTACAGAGTCAATGTGCGGGGGCACCGGCTAGTTGAGGTAGTTGAGGTAATATGTACATGTGGGTAGAGTTAAAGTGACTATGCATAAATAATTAACAGAGTAGCAGCAGCGTAAAAAGGATGGGGTGGGGGGGCAGTGCAAATAGTCCGGGTAGCCATGATTAGCTGTTCAGGAGTCTTATGGCTTGGGGGTAGAAGCTGTTGAGAAGTCTTTTGGACCTAGACTTGGCACTCCGGTACCGCTTGCCGTGCGGTAGCAGAGAGAACAGTCTATGACTAGGGTGGCTGGTGTCTTTGACAATTTTGAGGGCCTTCCTCTGACACCGCCTGGTATAGAGGTCCTGGATGGCAGGAAGCTTGGCCCCAGTGATGTACTGGGCCGTACGCACTACCCTCTGTAGTGCCTTGCGGTCGGAGGCCAAGCAGTTGCCATACCAGGCGGTGATGCAACCAGTCAGGATGCTCTCGATGGTGCAGCTGTAGAATTCTTTGAGGATCTGAGGACCCATGCCAAATCTTTTCAGTCTCCTGAGGGGGAATAGGCTTTGTCGTGCCCTCTTCACGACTGTCTTGGTGTGTTTGGACCATGATAGTTCGTTGGTGATGTGGACACCAAGGAACTTGAAGCTCTCAACCTGTTCCACTACAGCCCCGTCGATGAGAATGGGGGCGTGCTCAGTCCTCTTTTTTTTCCTGTAGTCCACATTCATCTCCTTTGTCTTGGTCACGTTGAGGGAGAGGTTGTTGTCCTGGCACCACACGGCCAGGTCTCTGACCTCCTCCCTATAGGCTGTCTCATCGTTGTCGGTGATCAGGCCTACCACTGTTGTGTCGTCGACAAACTTAATGATGGTGTTAGAGTCGTGCCTAGCCATGCAGTCATGGGTGAACAGAGAGTACAGAAGGGGACTGAGCACGCACCCCTGAGGGGCCCCCGTGTTGAGGATCAGTGTGGCAGATGTGTTGTTACCTACCCTTACCACCTGGGGGCGGCCCGTCAGGAAGTCCAGGATCCAGTTGCAGAGGGAGGTGTTTAGTCCCAGGATCCTTAGCTTAGTGATGAGCTTAGAGGGCACTATGGTGTTGAATGCTGAGCTGTAGTCAATGAATAGCATTCTCACGTAGGTGTTCCTCTTGTCCAGGTGGGAAAGGGCAGTGTGGAGTGCAATAGAGATTGCATCATCTGTGGATCTGTTGGGGCAGTATGCAAATTCGAGTGGGTCTAGGGTTTCTGGGATAATGCTGTTGATGTGAGCCTTGACCAGCCTTTCAAAGCACTTCATGGCTACAGACGTCAGTGCTACGGGTCGGAAGTCATTTAGGCAGGTTATCTTAGTGTCCTTCGGCACGGGGACTATGGTGGTCTGCTTGAAACATGTTGGTATTACAGACTCAGTCAGGGACATGTTGAAAATGTCAGTGAAGACACTTGCCAGTTGGTCAGCACATGCTCGGAGTACACGTCCTGGTAATCCGTCTGGCCCTGCGGCCTTGTGAATGTTGACCTGCTTAAAAGTCTTACTCACATCGGCTACGGAGAGCGTGATCACATAGTCATCCGGAACAGCTGGTGCTCTCATGCATGCGTCAGTGTTGCTTGCCTCGAAGCGAGCATAGAAGTGGTTTAGCTCGTCTGGTAGGCTTTTGTCACTGGGCAGCTCGCGGCTGTGCTTCCCTTTGTAGTCTGTAATAGTTTTCAAGCCCTGCCACATCCGACGAGCGTCAGAGCCAGTGTAGTACGATTCAATCTTAGTCCTGTATTGACTCTTTGCCTGTTTGATGGTTCGTCGGAGGTCATAGCGGGATTTCTTATAAGCGTCCGGGTTAGAGTCCCGTTCCTTGAAAGCGGCAGCTCTACCCTTTAGCTCAGTGCGGATGTTTCCTGTAATCCATGGCTTCTGGTTGGGGTATGTACGTACGGTCACTGTGGGGACGACATCATCGATGCACTTATTGATGAAGCCAGTGACTGATGTGGTGTACTCCTCAATGCTGTCTGAAGAATCCCGGAACATGTTCCAGTCTGTGCTAGCAAAACAGTCCTGTAGCTTAGCATCTGCGTCATCTGACCACTTTTTTATTAACCGAGTCACTGGTGCTTCCTGCTTTAGTTTTTGCTTATAAGCAGGAATCAGGAGGATAGAGTTATGGTCAGATTTGCCAAATGGAGGGCGAGGGAGAGCTTTGTATGCGTCTCTGTGTGTGGAGTAAAGGTGGTCTAGATTTTTTTTCCCTCTGGTTGCACATTTAACATGCTGGTAGAAATTAGGTAGAACGGATTTAAGTTTCCCTGCATTAAAGTCCCCGGCCACTAGGAGCGCTGCATCTGGATGAGCGTTTTCCTGTTGATTTATGGCCTTGTACAACTCATTCAGTGCAATCTTAATGCCAGCATTGGTTTGTGGTGGTAAATAGACAGCTATGAAAAATATAGATGAAAACTCTCTTGGTAAATAGTGTGATCTCCGCATGTGTAGTTCCCACCGTAAAGCATGGAGGAGGAGGTGTTATGGTGTGGGGGTGCTTTGCTGGTGACACTGTGATTTATTCATAATTCAAGGCACACTTAACAAGCATGGCTACCACAGCATTCTGCAGCGATACACCATCCCATCTGGTTTGGGCTTAGTGGGACTATCATTTGTTTTTCAACAGGAAAATGACCCAACACACCTCCAGGCTGTGTAAGGGATATTTTTCCAAGAAGGAGAGTGATGTAGTGCTGCATCAAATGACCTGGCCTCCACAATCCCCCGACCTCAAACCGAATGAGATGGTTTGGGATGAGTCGGACGGCAGAGTGAAGGAAAAGCAGCCAACAAGGGCACAGCATATGTGGGAACTCCTTCAAGACTGTTGGAAAAGCATTCCAGGTGAAGCTGGTTGAGAGAATGCCAAGAGTGTGCAAAGCTGTCATCAAGGCAAAGGGTGGCTATTTGAAGAATCTCAAATATAAAATATATTTTGATTTGTTTAACTATTTTTTGGTTACTACATGATTCCATATGTGTTATTTCATAGTTTTGATGTCTTCACTATTATTCTACAATGTAGAAAATAGTAAAAATAAAGAAAAACCCTTGAATGAGTAGGTGTGTCCAAACTTTTGACTGGTACTGTACATATATATTTGATGGGATGTGTAGACAATATGGGCAGTATTTGGATAGAATATGTAGTATTTCTGAAGAATAGTATATTTACAGCACAGTGGAGGCTCCTCAGAGGAGGAAGGGTAGGACCATCCTCCTCAGTGAATTTCATTTTTAAAAATGTTTTACAACATTGAAAAAGTTATCCTTTTGAGATAAAACTATACTAAATATATTCACGTCACCAAATAATTGATTAAAACACACTGTTTTGCAATGAAGGTCTACAGTAGCCTCAACAGCACTCTGTAGGGTAGCACCATGGTGTAGCTGGAGGACAGCTAGCTTCCATCCTACTCTTGGTACATTGACTTCAATACAAAACCTAGGTGGCTCTTGGTTCTCATCCCCTTCCATGAACTTACTCAGTAATTATGACAACTTCCGGAGGACGTCCTCCAACCTATCAGAGCTCTTGCAGCATGAACTGTCACGTTGTCCACCCAAACAAAGGATCAGAGAATGACTCTAGGACTGAAAGCATAAGCTACAGCTAGATAGCACTGCAGTGCATAAAATGTGGTGAGTAGTTGACTCAAAGAGAAAGAAAGACAATAGTTGAACAGTTTTCAACAAATTAATTTCTTCAAAAATGAAGGAGAAGCAAGAGAGAGAGAGATTTCATCATTTTTTTTCACTTTCAGTTTCACTTACTTAGCTAGCAAATGCAGCTGGCTAGTTTAGTTACTCAAACACCCGGCTCAAACAGAGGGATGCTATGTTAGCTAGAAGGCTATGGCTATCCAACACAACATTGGAACTCTTCCAAGTCAAGGTAAGCTTTTGGTTTTCTTAATTTATTGCCACCGGGGCCCGCCAGTCTAACTGCTTACTGACTATACACTGTAACATTACTGCATGATCGTAGCAGGTTTACTAACGCATTAGTTATATTAGCTATGTTGACTAGGACGTTACTTAAGCTAATATGGGGACAACGATGTAGGCTGTGTGTAGAGGTTATGACATGGTTTGGCTTGGGAAGGTTTTTTCGCCTGGTCACATACAGCTGATGTGTTGTTCATTGAAGTCCACAAACGAAGGGAAAAGGTGAGAGGAGGAGAGTGCATAGAGGCTAGAATGAATACAACATGGCTGTTATGAAAGTGAACTCTGTTTATGCATGATCAGGGGTGTATTCATTCCGCCGATTCTGTTGAAAAATGTTTCTTAAACGGAAGCAAACGAAAATGGGGATAAAAATACCTGAAGTGTGCAAGGCAGTATTGAATGTGTCACTGTATGTCCATGTGTCACTGTCTGTCATCTCAAATATTTCTCTGGACCTGTGTGCACCTACGTTGTAAACTTTAATTCATAGGCTAGGTAGCAACCTCATGATGGGTATAGGGAAAATTTGAGTATCATGTAGTAGTCTAAACCTATCGATGTTACATTGAACTGGGTGAATAGAATAGGAACGACAGTCATCCAACATGCTGTAATAGAAATAAGGCCATGCTCATTTTAAAAAATTGTCCTCCCTCATCATAAACTGCACTGTCCTCCACTGGTACAGTAATGGTTCAAAAGGATGGCCTTGACTAGAATACAGTATATACATATGACGTGGGTAAAACAGTATGTAAACATTATTAAAGCCCAATGGGCACTGGTCAAAAGTAGTGCACTATGTAGGGAACAGGGTGCCATTTGAGATACAGCATTGATTTTTGGCAAAATCAATTCTGCAGAGAGACTGAGACATTGAGACACTAGTCCATAAACTATACTAAAGGTCGTATTAGAGTTACTTCGTGACATGCCCACAAAACATGCCCACAAGCAATCTGTAGCCTATCTATTCTAGTGGAATGTCCCACTCTCCTATGAAAATAGGCCTACGGTGGTGCAAGGCAGACTAGAATGCCAACTATCTGGCAGGGGTTAGGGGGCTTTTTTCCACTACCACCTGAACAGTGCATTCCTCTTAACTTTCCATAAAGTGCCTCACTTTTGTACACAGATCTGGTGTTCTTTTAGCAAGCAGCCCCTTAGCTAAGTGACTCTTAGGTGGAATTTGTGAATGTCAGGAGTTGCATGGTTTGCCTTCAACCTAACCACTGTGTCCACTGGCATGCATACCGTACATATTGGAAAATAGGCCTATATATGGAAAAGCTATGACATAATTGCCTAACTAAAGTAAAAACAATGACAACACATTCATAGTTGTACCCTACATATGACATTAATGGTATAAATAGATATGTCAGTATGCCTACCAGTCTTTCTGTGCAAACTGTCTACAATGGGTCAAAACAAATAGGCAGCAGAGCAGGCAATGGAAAATGTGGCCCTTGGCCAAGCTCTGAAACAACAAGATAGCATGTGATGTGTTCCTACCAAATATGAATACAGCTGAGGACCCCAAAGACTATCCCGATGATAAATGCCATGGGAACAGCGAGGATTGTGGTCAGTATTCGGTAGAATACATATTTGACCAGTTCGAAGACGGCGTGGCTTCCTATCCATACTCTGTCGAAGCTGTGGCTGGAACTGGGCTCTGCGATCACATCTTCAAAACCAACCTGGGGAAGGAGACAAGCACTTGTCAGGTATCAGTCATGGACTCGCTCACATACCCATTTGTCATATTCTGTCCAAACAAACATATAATCAGGAGTTTACAGCCAACTTGGAAACTAAACCCACAGGCAATACCGCATGAAATCTGCAGCTATTATGCATGAATAAAAGTATTGCTATGATTAGTTTATTACATATGGCAAAGCGACAATAACGAAAGTATTGATCTACAGCTTGACAAACGCTTATCAGTACACTGGTGTTTACTTTGTGAAAACCGGAGCGCACCGTGCGCTGATACACTGATATTGTAGCTTACCTTTAAGTGCGCGTTTATGTCATTGGGATCTCGGTCTGGGATCTCCGCGTAGACTTTGTCTTTTTTCGACAAAATCGGTTCTATTGATCTGTTGAACTCGTCCTCGTCCATGATAATACTCGTCTCGTAATTCTCCTTTTCGAGACCCATTTTCACTTCACAGGCGGCGCGGTGTGCAGTGGAGAGCTCTCGTTGGTAGCGCTCTCTGCATTTGGGACTGTGCCTGCGCGCATGAAACGGACCCACGCCCAGTGCGGAAAGCCGCGCAGCGTAGGGGAGACACAACAAGCAAAGTTACGTCCCCATGCTATTTGCACTGTTTGACTCTGTATTTGTTGAAGAATTGGTCAGATTTATAAAATAATATGAACTCGGCTATATTTTGCAAAATTGTAATTGACGTTAGTTAACCATTGGACATTATTTGTTTATATCCTAACATTTGTATAGGCTCTACACCCTAGTCATTATTTTATACATTTTAGTCATTTAGCAGACGCTCTTATCCAGAGCGATTTACAGGTGTAAGTCGGGTTAACTCCCTTGCTCAAGGGCTCATCGACAAATGTTTCACCTAGTCAGCTGGGATGTGGAGGAGAGAGATGAGAGGAGGATGAAATAAGAGTGATGTGTATGTGAGTTTGGGAAACGTGTGTGTGTGCGTGCGTGTGCGTGTGTGTGTAAAGGAACATTGAGTGCATTTTGTGCATGTTTCATGAGGTTCTTGCAGATTTATTGCACTTATTTATTGAGTTCAGTGACCTTTCTTTCTGCCGATACTGAACATACTTTGGAGCAATTTTAGAATCCCTCTCAGTCTTCATATTTTTAAAGCCAGGCACAGGAGGCTGCTCATAATAATGGGCGGAACGGAGCAAATTGAATGGCGTCGAACACCTTTGAAAATATGTGTTTGATGTATTTGTTTCCATTCCATTGAAGATATTACCACGAGCCCGTTCCCCCTAATTAAGGTGACAGCTACCTCCTGTGAAGCCAGGATATACTTACATAGAATATAGACATATTTTTCAAGTGTTGGGATTATTGTCACACTGACCCAAATGCATTTCTAATAATCATATATACAGTGCCTTCGAAAAGTATTCAGACCCCTTGACTTTTTCCACATTTTGTTAGGTTACAGCCTTATTCTAAAATGTAGTAAATTGTTTTTTTTCCCACTCATCAATCTACACACAATACCCCATAATGACAAAGCAAAAACAGGATTTTATAAATATTTGCTAATATCTGCAAAGCAACTTGGATTGCCTGGATACAGCCCTTAGCCGTGGTATATTGGCCATATACCACAAACCCCCAAGGTGGCTTATTGCTATTATAAACTGGTTACCAATGTAATTAGACCAGTATATAGAAATGTTTTGTCATACCCGTGGTTTATTTGATATAAAACCTCTGTCAGCCAATCAGCATTCAGGGGTCAAACCACCCAGTTTATAACAAAGAAAAATCACTTTTCTCTGGAAACAATGTTCATATACTCTTTCAACCTTAGTGCTTAGAATAGCCAACTATATTCCCACCAACCATTGCATTTGTTTGGCTTCTTTCTGAAGGCTTTAGGATTAAACTAATGCATTCTGGAAATGTAGCATTTTCCCCATATTGAACAAAATGTATGAAATATAACAACTTAGAATATTTGCATACAGTTTTGTTTTCCTTGATCATTCATTTCAAGAGTTTGAAAAATCAATTGTTTCATCAAGATTTTATATGCATGTACACTACCGTTCAAAAGTTTGGGGTCACTTAGAAATGTCCTTGTTTTCCAAGAAAAACATACATGAAATTAGTTTGAATAGGAAATATAACAAAATGAATAGGAAATGTAGTCATTGACAAGGTTAGAAATAATGATTTTTAATAGAAATAATAATTGTGTCCTTCAAACTTCGCTTTCGTCAAAGAATCCTCCATTTGCAGCAATTACAGCCTTGCAGACCTTTGGCATTCTAGTTGTCAATTTGTTGAGGTAATCTGAAGAGATTTCCCCCCATGCTTCCTGAAGCACCTCCCACAAATTGGATTGGTTTCATGGGCACTTCTTATGTACCATACGGTCAAGCTGCTCCCACAACAGCTCAATAGGGTTGAGATCCAGTGACTGTGCTGGCCACTCCATTATAGACAGAATACCAGCTGACTGCTTCTTCCCTAAATAGTTATTGCATAGTTTGGAGCTGTGCTTTGGGTCATTGTCCTGTTGTAAGAGGAAATTGGCTCCAATCAAGCGCCGTCCACGGAGTATGGCATGCCGTTGCAAAATGGAGTGATAGCCTTCCTTCTTCAAGATCCCTTTTACCCTGTACAAATCTCCCACTTTACCACCACCAAAGCACCCCCAGACCATCACTTGCCTCCACCATGCTTGACAGATGGCATCAAGCACTCCTCCAGCATCTTTTCATTTGGTCTGTGTCTCATAAATGTTCTTCTTTGTGATCTGAACACCTCAAACTTCGATTTGTCTGTCCATAACACTTCCAATCTTCCTCTGTCCAGAGTCTGTGTTCTTTTGCCCATCTTAATCTTTTCTTTTTATTGGCCAGTCTGAGATATGGCTTTTTCTTTGCAACTCTGCCTAGAAGGTCAGCATCCCGGAGTCGCCTCTTCACTGTTGACATTGAGACTGGTGTTTTGCGGGTACTATTTAATGAAGCTGCCAGTTGAGGACCTGTGAGGCGTCTGTTTCTCAAACTAGACACTCTAATGTATTTGTCCTCTTGCTCAGTTGTTCACCGGGGCCTCCCACTCCTCTTTCTCTGGTTAGAGCCAGTTTGTGCTGTTCTGTGAAGGGAGTAGTACACAGCGTTGTACGCCATCTTCAGTTTCTTGGCAATTTCTCACATGGAATAGCCTTCATTTCTCAGAATAAGAATATACTGATGAGTTTCAGAAGAAAGTTATTTGTTTCTGGCCATTTTGAGCCTGTAATCGAACCCACAATTGCTGATGCTCCATACTCAACTAGTCTCAAGAAGGCCAGTTTTATTGCTTCTTTAATCAGCACAACAGTTTTCAGCTGTGCTAACATAATTGCAAAAAGGTTTTCTAATGATCAATTAGCCTTTTAAAATGATCAACTTGGATTAGCAAACACAACGTGCCATTGGAACACAGGACTGATGGATGCTGATAATGGGCCTCTGTACGGCTATGTAGATATTACATAAAAAATCTGCCGTTTCCAGCTACAATAGCCATTTACAACATTAACAATGTCTACACTGCATTTCGAATCAATTTGATGTTATTTTAATGGACAAAAAAATAGCTTTTCTTTCGAAAACAAGGACATTTCTAAGTGACCCCAAACTTTTGAACAGTAGTGTATATAATGACATGTTTGAAGTTTTATGTAGCCTACAAGATGCATATTGGTAGAGACTACACCTAATATAGAATAGACGCATTTGAATTTAAATGAAATGAAATTATGTTTCCTTTAATTCGAATTCAAATTTCAATTCTGTATCCTGTTTACTATTTCATTTCAAATTCAATTCAAATTCAAGAATTGAATTGGAATTTAGAAGGCATTCTGAATTAAATTCTAAATTGAGCACAACCCTGCTTTGTAGGCCAGGGCTGTGTGCGTCGGCAGGTAGCTTAGTGTGTGTTTGTGAGTGTGTGTGTTTTGATTGTGTTTGTGTGTGTGTGTTTGTGACAGCAAGGCAGGAATCCAGTCAGCAGGGACAACAGAGAGGAGTTCTGCCCCCAGCGTGGTGCAACAATACAAACCCACAATCCCCAGGATTAAACACACAGGGCTTTTCTGACAGCCAAGCATTCAATGAGGGAGGCCCGGCTGGCTGGTTGGCTGGGGTAGGGGTGGAGGGTAGCCGGCCAGTGATAGTGTGGTGAGGGCCGGTTGCATGACAGTGTGTATTCTCGTAATTAGTCTCGCATTGCCGTACCTCCAAAATCATGTCGTTGTCACGCCTCCCTTGGAGGTCTGGATAATTTTCTATTGCAAAAATGGTTTGAATGGTCAGCTGAATGGTCAAGATTTTGATTGGATGTTACATTTCAAGAACCCTTCCCCCTTAGAAGGGGTGCTGCGTGTTATGTGCGTCACTGTTTTCCATTCAGGTAGTTGTTGCCTATGCTAGTTTTAAGTTCTAGTTATTAAGTTATCAAGTGTGGTCGACAGTCTGCGGTTTAAATTTATTGAAACTGAAAGTGGATTACGCTGGTAAAGTCAAACGTCACAACACGCTCTAAACTGCTCTGGTGACAAACACACTTTGGGCCTTGTCTCCATTTGTCCACAAGGCTGTTGAATGCGCTTTGCTATCACCGGAAAAATCTTGAAGATTGCATATTATTTGGTTTTTGTAAGGACCCAAAAAGCTGTTCAACTAAGTAAATACATTTGGAAAATGTTAAAATAATTATGTATTACAGTACTAGTAGGCCACTTTGTAGGCTAACTCAACTGAGCTGCTAGCTAGCTAGATAATTTTACACACTGTTTAGCTAAGTTAATTAAATGTCAACAGCTAGCTAACTTTCTTTTAGCTAGCTATCTTGATGTAATCATTGTAAATTAAAAACACAGTCTGCAAATGCATTTGTAGATAACAGCCATGGAAGAGGTGGAAATTGCAGCTCCATCTGCCAGTAAAGGGAGAGTGTAGGATACTGGATTGCCTAGGCAGCTGATATTGCATGGGCGCTAGATCTGCACAATTGGCAGCCTAGGCTAGCTACTGGATAGGGCAGGCAATTTTGTGGGAGGACATTATGAAAAGATTTTCCAGTTCCAGTCCCTAGAGGGGAAAACTTTGAGGACAGAGAGATAATAGCAACATAATATTCAATGCTGCCTAATTTGAGTATAATAAAGCCTGTTTCTTTGTGATGTTTTCTGTCCTCAGATATGGAAAGCTGTGAAAGACTGTGTTTGCAGATGAAGAGACAGGTCACAAGAGACTAATAGAGCATTTCCAAACACGATATACCCCAGTGTTTTACCCAAAAGGCTCAGTCTTTTCTGTTTCCATTTACGCGGACCGGCACCCGTGTCTCACTGGGCCATGGCTCCGGTGGACCTGCTCTCATTTGGGATCAAAGCCAGGCCACTGGTGGCGCTTTCATTTACATAACAATGGCTAGCTGTGAACTTTAACACCTTCTCACAAAGCAACTGTGTATGCCAGCAGTATTTTTGTATACAACGCTAACTGGAACACCTCA